ATCAACTTCATCTTCAACTGAGGAGTATATGTCATTACCAGTAGTAATGTTAGTGTTATTGTTACTGGTTGGGTTAGTTTCAATGTTGTGGCTATTGATAAGATAACAATTATTATATATCTTTATTAATTTATACATACCTTGTTGCTTCAGTTTGAGGAGATGTGTTCTGTAAAGATACTGTTAACTATAAAAATGAGATAGAAATGCATGCTTAGACTTTATATATGAGATACCTTTCAAGTAAGTTTCAACAAAACATGTGACAGAATTTACACAATATACAAGCCCTGTCTCAGAGCATGCTGACACCAATACATTATTGCTTGATACTGAGCAGTTGTACAACAATTCACCTTGACTAAGAGGCAAATTTAATTTTATTACATTTGAATAATTATTTAATTGCACTGTCTGTATAAAAGTAGTTCACTGCATTTCTTGACCATTAAATGAACAGTTTATGCTATTGATTGGTCCATTAGCTCTAAAATATAACAAAGTTTCATTCTGCATTAGACTCAGGCGATAATCTGTCAGTGACAACAGCGTAGGATTGTCTATCATAGATGATAATAGTATGTGCATTGAGATATAAAACTCACCTAAGTATAAGGCAAATAAAAAGCTTTCATTACTGGGTAGGAGGCATATATGTATTCCTTCTTTATCAATATATCTATTTACATTTTCAACAAATAATCCATTAGTTATAGGAGTATTACAACATAAGTGAACTGGAGCTGGGGTACAAATAGCTCTATAATAAACAATGATTGAGTTATTTGGGATTTGATCTATTCCATCTGGACACAAATGAACACCTATGAGAAGGATTATGCTTTGTCAAATTAAAGCCTTAGACTACACACCTTCATGGGCTGAATAAATTCCAGGAGTCACAGCAGCTAATGTCAATAGTACAATCACAAAATGAAATTTCATCTTCTTGTCTTGAGAAGTTCAAGGTGTGGCTTACTTTGGCAATTGGCATACCCACAACTGTAATTAGCAAAGTCAAACTATAGATATGTCAAACTCATGCATACAAAACTATAAATATCAATAAACAGTGTCATTTAGTTCAGTTATAATATCATTTGTTGTGACAATAAAAGAGGACAAAGATTTAAGTACACGATGTATAGTTGGCACACAACTTGAAATAAAAATCAACAATAACGTACATGGATGGGCACACACAAGCAAGTTATGCATATCTACTATTCATGCTGGAGTTTATTATACTCAGTATCCTCAGTGGGTTTCTTAAGGAACTTATTAACAGTGGCATAACTATAATCCAATTCTTCTCTTTTCTCTCCCTCTCCTCTCTCTCCCCCTTCTCCTTTTTCTTTAATAGCAGTACTACTATACCCAGGATTAGCCTTAGGTGCTATATTAGTGATATAACCAGGATTAGGTGCTGTTACTGCTGTATTAGTAATATACTCAGGGTTGGGTAGAGTAAGATCATGTTGATCATCAAGAGTAGCATAAAGAGGAGGAGGGACATGTGCTTGTTGTAATAAGTTTAGAGGTACTTCATATTGACTGGCTACTCTTGCTGGTGGATGGTGATGATGATGATCAGCTTCATCTTCAACTGAGGAGTATATGTTAGTAGCAGTAGTAATGTTAGTGTTATTGTTACTGGTTGGGCTAGTTTCAGTGTTGTGACTATTGATAAGATAACAGTTATTGTATATTTTTAATAATTTACATATACCTTGTTGCTTCAGTTTGAGATGTGTTTTGTAAAGGTAGTTGTTCGTTCTCTGTTATGATGCTAAAAAGTAATAGTTACATTTAGGAGTGTTGTAATGATACAAACACTTACAATTTTGATTTTTTCCTCTGGCAGAATATGTAGATACAGCTACTGATTAATGCAATGATAGTCAGTAGGTTAGTAGCTACTAATAAACCAATACCAGTGTAATGGGGTACTGTTGATGACGATTGTACTGGGGGTACTGTTGATATTGCTGAATAAGATGATAATGTGGACAATGATGAAGTAATGGTAGAAAAATTTACAATAGACGGTGATTGTAATGCTGAGGTATAGCTTGAATATAATAGATCTGGCAATGAAATAACAGCAGAGTACTCGTTTGTATTTGAGGATGAATAAACAGTGGAGCAATCTTTTGGTGCATGTATTGTTATTTTGCATGACGTTTGAGTAACAGTTATAAAATCCTGAGTTTGATACCCCTCATTGCTATTTAATTTATATATGCTATGTGTAAACTGCTTTGTAGATATATCACTAGATCCATTATGTGATTGAATGCATTGATAGACACCATCATCATATCTAGAAGAACAACAGCAGCAATTAGAATTATAACTACGTTCGCATAAAAGTAATTTCATTGTCCCTGATGAAGTGGAATTTAGTACTCTCCATTTAGTTTCTGTAGTTGAACTATTTGCTACACACAACAATACTGCTATATTACACAGAGATTTGCTGTGATTAAAAGAATACAGAATAGAATTGTTATGGACTTCATCATAGGTATCTTCCAAAGACGAATTTTTTCTGTATATGCGAAAACCTTGACCTGTGTAAACTAAATAAAACTAACTACTATTTACCTGTCATCCCAGTTGGTGGAGTAACATAGGTTGACCCATCACTACAATCATGCGAGGTACCAAAAGAAGTACCAACATTAAAAAGAATAACAATCAAAACAAAAAAAGCTGGCATTGCTCCAGAAATCAAAACTGCTATCTGCTAGTCTGCTAGCAGCTCCTATATAACTCCACCTATACCGTGCAGTCAATAGTTATAGAAACAAAAAATAAACTAGTGCATATTAATGACACTATGTATACTACCAAATTTAAAATTTTGCATATTTTAGAGGAATATGTTGTGTTAATATTATGGAGGACACCATGCATGTACAAAATCTCCCCTTGGTTCATATACCTATAGTCTAGCTAAAAAAATGTTAGAGATCATCTACTTCAAAATTAAAACAAAAAAGGAGGACTGGTTTATACAATATGCATGCACAAATTGAAACTGAAAGTTAATTGAATAAGCAAAACTATGTATATACTAGTCATGCTGGAGTTTATTATACTCAGTGTCCTCAGTGGGTTTCTTAAGGAACTTATTAACAGTGGCATAACTATAATCCAATTCTTCTTTCCTCTCTCCTTCTCCTCTCTCTCCTCCTTCTTCTTTGATAGCAGTACTGCTATACCCAGGATTAGCCTTAGGTGCTATATTAGTAATATACCCAGGATTAGGTGCTGTTACTGCTGTATTAGTAATATACTCAGGGTTGGGTAGAGTAAGATCATGTTGATCATCAAGTGTAGCATAAAGAGGAGGAGGAGGAGGGAGAGGGACATGTGCTTGTTGTAATAAGTCCAGAGGTACTTCATATTGACTGGCTACTCTTGCTGGTGGGCGGTGATGATGATGATAATTATCAACTTCATCTTCAACTGAGGAGTATATGTTAGTACCAGTAGTAATGTTAGTGTTATTGTTACTGGTTGGGCTAGTTTCAGTGTTGTGGCTATTGATAAGATAACAGTTATTGCATATCTTTATTAATTCATACATACCTTGTTGCTTCAGTTTGAGGAGATGTGTTCTGTAAAGATACTGTTTGTTCTCTCTCACTTATGTTCCTGCATTAAAAATTAAAAAAAATTCAATAAAAAATGATGACAAGCACTTACAATCTCTTCTTCTTTCTTTGATTCAATAAACATAACAAACTTAATAGTAGTACAATTAGTGTGATGACATTAGTAAATGCAAGTACTCCAATTCCAGCATAAAATGATTCTTGTGCTAAGGATGTGGTAGAAACTACACAAGTAGATCCTGGCATAGATGACGTTGATGAATAAAGATACTGTGGTAATATTATGATGTTACAAAATAAATTTAAAATTAATTTTTAACCTCATAAAATAGCTCAAATCCAGTTTGGCCTTCAAAGTAATTTCTGGCCTTATTGATACCAGCAGTGTTACAAGACCTGCTACAATTTGTGTAAGTCATCCAGTTAACTGCTGCTGTATTTTTTTGAAATAAATTTACTATGAAAGTGATAAAAATGCTTACATTTAATATGTATCATCAGGTACCTTTGAAATAATTTTCAACAAAACATGAAACAGAATTTACACAATATTCAAGTCCTGTAGCACCGGAGCATGATGCCGCTTGATCATTCACTATTACATTATTGCCTGATACGGAGCAGTTGTACCACAATTCATCTTGATTAAGTGGCACATTTAACTGTATTAAAGTTGAAAACCTTGATTCTACTGTCTGTGTAAAAGGAACTGGCTGCATTTCTTGATCATTAAATGAACAGTTTATGCTGTTGATTGGTCCATTAGCTCTAAAATATAACAAAGCTTCATTTTGTAATAGACTCAGGTGATAATCAGAAAGTGACAATGGCATAGGATTATCTATCATAAAAAATCATAGATGATAATACTGCATTGTTTTAAGTAAAACATACACCTTACCAAAGTTTAAAGCAAGTATAAAGCTTTCATTACTAGGCTGTAGGAGGCATATATGCATTCCTTCTTCATTAATATGATGATTCATAACTTGAACATGTAATCCACTAGGACTAACTACAGGAGTACTACAACACAAGTCAACTAGATATAGGCCGGTACAAGTAGATCTATAAACAATGATTGAGTTATTTGGTACAATTTGATCTATTCCAAATGGACACAAATCACCACCTATAAGAAGGATTAAGCTTTGTCAAATTAAGGCCTTTTAACCTTCATGAGCTGAAT